GATTGTAATACAAACCAACGTTTTTGATAACCTTTTAAATACTAAAAAAACAAACAAAACTATAATATACAAATCCTATCGAAATAAGAAATTTACATTCGTCCATTTATATAACCATCCACGTATTTCATCTTTTCCATTGACAGCTAATGGTGTTGTTGATTGCATATATTGCGATTGTTGAGTGTGCATTGCTGGTGGTACAATACCAGTACCAATAGTACTTAAATTTGATGAACTAGCTGTATTTTGCATTGTTTTAAATATTGCTGAATTAGTCGGCGTTGATGAAACAGATTGATTATCTATTTATCAAAAACAGAAAGAAGAAACAATTCGTCAGTTTACTTGAATATTTTTATTAATATTATTTACCGAGATCGTTATTTGTAGAATTGACTGCTAATTGCGGTGAAGATATTACATGTGGACCCCAATCATCCGTTGAATAAACATTATCGGTAGTATTTGAATTAGAATTATTATCAATGTTGTTATTTGGGCCTGAAATATTTTCAAAAAAAATGATTTATTATTATTATTATTATCATTATTTTATTTTTCTATTTCCAGTTTTTTTTAAGCAGCTGTTATAATAATAATAGTAGTCATTACAATCGAACGATTTACTGAATATGATAGATATTTCCTTTCATTACTATCTGTTTATTGTTATTTTTTGTCAGTATAATTGTTATCATCATAAATATCATGCCTGAATAAATATGCAATAACACCAGATATTTTAATAGACGAGCATATTTTAATTGAGAGTAAAATTAAAAAAAAAGACAAAGAGCAGAATGTGAATGTGTTTTTTTTCGATGAGGCAATAGAAATATTTGTAAAAATAAAAGTCAGCTAATTTTAAGGTCAAGAAAATAATCATTTGATAGCATATATATATTGTCTTTTTGTAATCAATGAAAGAAAGAAATGATATAATGTCATTATATATTTTTTTAGAATCAATATTACATTTAAAATCAAATAGAAAGAAAGGAAAAAAATAAATATAATAATTTCGGCACCTACAATCATGAGTAATATCAACTGTATATCGTTTATGACGTCTTCTAATGAATGGTGGTCGACATCTCGATACAATCTTGCGCATACGATGTGGCATCTCCTCTAGTTTAGTTATCGACGACAAAAGAAATGAAGAAGAACAAGAGAGAGAGTCAAAAACTACGAAAGAGATGAAGAAAAAGAGAGTAACGCAAATAACAAAGGAGTGGACTAAGATAGAGCAAGAAGGCGTTAATATGGAAGAACGGTTCGAAAAAGCGAACGTGTTGTTGTTCTTCTTGTTCTTCTTTATTTCTCTCTTTTTATTCTTATTTTATTTGAAAAATACTTTGCGACATTCGAAAAGACATTAAACATTACTATTATTTAAACTAAAAACAAGATAACAAAGTCTGAAAGTAAAGACATGAAAAGAATATAGGTGTCAGTGTTAAACAATAAGCTTATTTTATTAGTTTTAACAAAATCCTACCACTAAAGAAATGACTTTCAATTATACATTATGTATAGTTTGTTCTTTTAATCATAACAATATATTATACATCTATATTATTTTTTCATATCACGTATTGGCTGACGTGAAAATTTTTCAAGCACGATTTGTTACCATTAAAACTATACAAAAAAACAATTTTTTCGCATTGAACTCAGTTCATAGTTCTTAGTATATCTGCAATATGAAACAAAAATAATTAATAATTAATATAAAACATATTGTTTACATCATATATATCCATAGAGAAAACCTATCTGGAAAGAATTTATTTGATAAATAATGTAATATTCTCTCTCTCTTTGTTTTTTTACCGACGGTAACATATTATATCTAAAGAAGCAAAACGTGGTCGGATTAGTTCCTCTTTTTTTTACTCTCATATTATCATCCTCAAGAGAGAGAGAGAGAGGAAGAAGAAAAATCTACAATAATTTTATTATATAGTCCAATGATCATATCAGACGGAAGTAAAAATCAAAATGTTACATTGTATTACTTACCTACTTTCTTTTTATTTGATAATAAAAAGTGAAAATAACCAAATGATTTAGAAAAATAAGAACTACGTAATCTAAAAATACACATGAATTTATTTAATAATGTTTTAATAAAACATCTATATTTATTAATTAAGAAAAAACAAAATATTACAATAATAAAAAAAATTAATCAATATTTTATTTATAAATTCGATCATTATTGTGGATTAGAATTCTAAAATATATGTTGGAACCTATGTCTCTTTTTTAATACAATCAAAAAAGTGAAATCGTTAATTACACAAAATTATTTGCTCTATGATTCTACCGTCTGTTATATATTGAATATCCTTTTTCTTTATAAACCAATGGAAAATTTCAGGAAATCTTTGGTTTATCTAAGGTTTGTTTTATGATAAAACTCTTCCGAATAAGTGTAGTACTACGCTTTTCGATATAATGTCCATTTTATTATAAATACTTAATAGTCACAACAAACTCAGATTATGATAGAATTCCTTTTTATGTATTTAATCGCAAAACTATGAGTATTAATTACTTATTGATGTGTGTGATTTTATAAAGCTCGATAGCTGATTACAGAACTTTTATACAATAGTTCTAATACCTAAAGAAAGTATTGTCACTTGTAAATCTAATATACCTGTCGTAGGACAGACTGAAATCCAGTTCAGTTTTAAATCGAACTAGGTCAGATCAAAATATTTTAATCTGTCCTAGTTCGATTTAAAACTGAACTGGATTTCAATCTGTCCTATGACATACCTTTATATATTAAAAGCTTGAAACATTAATTTTAATAAAATTGTCAATCTCACAGTTAATAGGTTTCAGAAATAATATTAGTTGTATTACGTATGTTTACATAAATCTGTTAATATCTGTTATATCATAAAGTTTACCAGATGAAAACTGGAATCATTTCGTATTGATAAATTTTCTGTTTTTTTATCAATCGATGATATATTTATCATAATACAACATCTTTTGTGTTACAATAGACAAGAAATCTCTATAGACTAAAAATAATAATAATTGGTTAAGAGTCTAATATTCAATTACTGTAAATAAATGATGATGATAAAATTTCAAATATGATCTATGAAATAAGAATAAATAAAGAATGAATATCTAAAAGAAAATGTTTTATTTTTGTTTTATTTGTTTATAAATCTGATAATGTTCTTATGAGCAAAATATCAAGCTGGATTAATTAATGTTGTCTGTTTTTTTTAATAGAAGAATGAAAAAAAAGAGAGAGAGAGAACACCGGAATAGCAGAAGAACAAGGCAAATGAGTCTTTTCTCTTGGTATATACAGATGTTGTTGATCATCTAAACTTATTGATTCGGTGTCGTAGTTGTAATTATCGTTGTTGTTTTTTTATAAGCTTCACCAGTATTATTATCACTGACCTATAGAAAGGAAAAAAGTATATTAAAAATAAATTATTTGTCCTGGCACATGCATGCATTAATAGATTTATTATTCAATACTTATAATAACATAGTTGTCGAGGCTGCGCTCTTCAGGTATCATCTCATATTTGATATGAGTCATTCTTTATTGAGCAGCGTCTATTAATACTAGAAGAGTTCATTTTCATGTGTTGTATTGCTCGAGGAATTCGTGCCATTTCACTAGATATTATTTTACTCTTGTCACGGTATTTATGACAAAAAAAATTAAATAAATCATATTTAACCTGGAACTTTAACTACACATAGAATTTTGGTAATATATGAATGAAAACGAGATATTCTTGAAAATAGGCTAAAAAATCCATTAAATTGTCTGTGGTTTAAGAACAATATGAATCCTTCTAGTCTTAATAGATTTTATTTAGTAAAGGATGACCCATATCAGATCCGAGTTTGTACCTGGAAATGTTCCTAGATCAAAGGTTACAATGTATATTATTTAGATGACAGATGTTAACAGTACTTTACGCCAAAATGATGTCTGTATTATATAAATCTCATGATTATAGCAATATCGAGTTAATTACAAAGCAGAAAACAATCTGACTCATAAATTTTCTTCCTTTTGAAAATGACAGTACAATTATATTAATCTTAAACTATTTACTCTTCTAATAAACGTATACTTTTTTTAAAAATAGCTATAAAGTAAAGTCTAGCATTATATATTATCATCGGAATCATTCAAAAATATTTACTTTAAAGAGTTGACATATGAACTACTGTAGAAAGAAGGATTAATATCATAATACTTAATTATCTATTCTTAACGAAATGATATTGTCTGAGATAAATATAATTAATCTCTTCTCTTTTCCAAGTAAAGTCATATCGTGAGAATTATCTCATTTTCTGGTTTAATAAGAATGAAAATAATCAGCTTCCGTCGACATACAATTTTGTCGAACAATGAAAATTATAATCACACGTAAATAGCTTAAGGACGATTCACGCTATCTTACAGATGGTAATTCTTCGATTGTTTCAATAATTGTAACTGTTTCAGCGTTTGTAGCTGCAATTGGGTCAAAAGTAAAATTATCTTTATATCTTGATAGACTTAATGCAAGGGCAATTGATGGATCATCTACAACTAATAATTCGCCAAGCTAAATAAAGAAGAAACAAAAATATTTGTTTAGAAATAAAATAATATTAAATTAATTATACTTTAAATTGAAGTGAATGATCAAAGAAAAATTCCTCTTCTGCACTTGTTAAAGGTGTTTCATATGTTAATTGATATGGTATATTAAATGGTGTTGAATCATTATCATTAGATGGTAATTTAAAACAACGGAAGATAGCCGAAACAAATTTTGTTGTACCTTTACAAAGACAAAAAAGAAGGGTAATTCATGTGTGCTTCTTAATGAATTACCTATAGCCTTTTGAATATCTTCATTTGTAATGACATATGGTTTTGCTGTAACAAGACGTGGTTGAGTAAAACCAGCTTCTGTTGCATATAAAATTAAATCTTCCCATCGAAGAGCACCACCAATATATTCGCCTATGGGTTTTAAAAACAAAATGAATTTTCTTTTAACAAAAAAGAAAGTCAATAAATATCTGACCGGCTAATAAATCTTGATATTCTGCAGGTATTGGACGATTAACATAAACATCCGAGAAATAAAATTCTCCGCCAGGCTAGATAAAATTTATCATAATTTATTTATCTTGTATAAATGTATATTTTATATATACTTTGAGTATTTTGCAAACACCTTCAATGATTGCCTTTTTATCTCTTCGGTAATTAACAACGCTGTTTGATCTACATATATACATATATTTAGTAATTGATATACTTGGTGTTTGTAACTTACACAATAACATCAATTGAATTTTCTTGAAGATTTGTTTTATCTATTTGATCAATATTACCTTCAATAAATTCAACATTTACTTTTGTTAAACCGAATTTCTTGATATGATAGTCAGTATGTTGACGAGCAAATTCCAACTAGAACAAAAAGATAATTCGAATTGAATGTTAAATCAATTATGTGTATTCTCCTTTGATTAATTTAAATAACTTCAATATACTCTTTTTTTCAAACATCTCAGAGAATATTCTGAATAATGCGCAGCTATTAAACTGAATCTAAATGTCATACTAGAGTTCATTGTTGAAAATACCGAAACTACTCACCAATTTTATTCTATAATGTTTAATCAATCAACAAATGGATTGTTGAAGTTTGATTGATATTTCCCGTAGGATTTATAGACATCAAAGTAGTCAGAATCAAACTAAACTTCGACTTTTGTTACATATACAGACTTAGTAAAGCATGTCAATTGACTTTTAAAAGAATAATTGTTTAGGGATGTGTAATTCCCGTCAATCGTTTACTGTCAATTCATTCAGTCATTCCACTGGCTATATTTATCGGCATTCAATGCAACAGTAGCACATCAATCGTATTAAAACATGCGCTTTTTAGTCGTCTCTTCGTACTTATCGATGAAGAATAGTTAAACACGTATATCTATCCTTCAAAAATAACCAGATATATCGGGAGGGTGATAATTTAATGATAATACAAACTATTATTAGAAGTGACACATTCTCGTAACGTCGCCATTTATATTCGAAATGGTAAATTAACTACATTTATAATATTAGATGTCGAGATAAACGTACTTATTTCAGTATGAGTAGATGAACAACAAACGCATGTTTTAATAGAATCTGTACATTACTGTGCACCGATATCAATTTTCGATATTTACAGTGGCGCTGCCCATGTCTACTTTTGCTAACAAATTAAGAACATTTAAATTGATTTGTTGATGAAATATTTAGTTGACTCTCAACATACGCCAATGCCAGTCATCGCTGGTTGACGATAGTAATGCATATCTATTTAACAGACATCAGTAAAATTTTGATCTATTCTTAAAAAAGAAAATAATCCGATGAGAGTCGTTTCCATAGAAAAATGCAAACATATGAA